AACTCTGGGCCTGGACACTGTCCCCCAGCTCTTCAACTCAAGGCTTAGTGCTTTACCACTTGAGCCACAGCACCACTTTTGGCTTTTTCTGTGTACATGGTACTGAAGAATTGAACCCAGGACCTCATGCATGCGAGGCAAGCATTCTACCACTGAGCCACCTTTCCAGCCCGTGTTTTTAGCTTTTTGTAACTAGGGTCTTTTTATGCAGTGCAGGCTAAGCTCAAAGTCATGATCCTCCAACCTCTGGGGTTCTAGGATTACGAATGAGTATCCCTATGCCTGGCTCTGAAGGCTTTGCTTTGAATGGCCCAATTTCCAGCCATCCATGTAAGAATAATTGTGGTTCTCTGAAAGGGGCGCTGTGGCTCAAGCCGTAGAGCCTTGAGCTGAAGAGCACAAGGACAGTGCCCAAGCCCGGAGTTCAAGCCCCACAACCGATTAAATAGATAGATAGATAGATAGATAGATAGATAGATAGATAGATAGATAGATAGATAGATAGATAGATAGATAGATAGATGATAATTGTGGTTCTCTGATGCTGGTAGAAAGTGCAGCAAAGGAGTTTGTCTGTGGGGCCTGTGTTGGCTTCTGGGACAGGGGACTGAAACTACTGCACCTGCAGAAGAGGTCATCTGAGCCTTCTCATATCTGCTACTCAGGAATCTCATGCCTGTAATCCCAGTTGCTTGGTAGGTGGAGGTCAGGAGGATAGCAGTTTGAGGCTAGCCCAGGCAAAACGTTTGAGAGACACAGCCCCCGACCCCTCCCCAAGCTGGACAAAAAAGCGAGGTATGGTGGTGTGTGTTTCTCATCTCAGCTAGGCAGGAGGCTGCAAAAGCATAAAGGAATGGGGATGTGGCTTAAGTAGTAAAGCACCAGCTGCCTAGGGGTTTTGTATATGCTAAGCAAGAACTCTGCTATTGAGCTAAACCCTGACTGCCTTTTACTTTCTATGCCAACTGGAAAACTTAATAAAAATGGACAAATGACCCCCAAATGACTTGTGCTTACTTTATATTTAATTACTCCCTGATGATGAATTGTTAGCGATTGATTTGCTCTCAGCCCGTTCTGTTGTTCTGCTGAGTGAGTTATCATAAAACACCAGTATGCGAGAAATAAAGAAGTACAAATGAGGCTGGCACCAGGGGCTCACACTTACAACCCTAGCTACTCAGGAGCTGAGATCTGAAGGTGGCTGGGACTCTCCATTCTTGGCTGGAGCGCCTCTGCCTCTGGCAGTGCAGGACCAGAGCTGGGCTGGGAGCCCCGTGGGCACAAATGGGGCGCCCTGGGCTAGAGGAAGGCATGAGCTTCCCCTTGTGTCTGTGCTGGGGCTTGAACTCAGGGCTTCACATTCTTGCTGAGATTTTTTTCTACTCAAGGCTGGTACTCTACCATTTGAGTCACACCGTCACTTCCGGCTTTTTGCTGATTCATTGGAACTAAGCCCAGGCTGGATTTGAGCCATGATACTCAGTAGTACGACCCCTGAGTGGCAAGGCTTACAGGTGTGAGCCACCAACGCGGGGCCAGGTTTTCTCACGTCTAACCCAACAGAAGATGGGCGTCCCCACTCTGCCCCTTGCAGTCAGGTTCTGTACCCCAACCTGACCTCCGAGATTCTACGAGACCTGAAAGAGCATCGGTGCCCAAACAACTTCAAGACTTCAGGTGGTCAGATCAGAATGTTCAACCAGAAAAACCCTGTGCAGCAGAGGCATTCTGAAATCTGGTCACAAATCCCCAGATGAGGAACACTCACCCCTAAATCGTGTGCATGGGCAAAGACAGGAGTCCGAGGGAGAGGCCATCCACAGAGCTGCTCATTCAGAGAAAAGAATGTGCAGTGCCAGGAAAAGAAAGGGCCTTCTACCTCCGTCCTCAGAACACCGCCACCCACATTGATCTCTGAGAAGAATTTCCATAATTCTAAGGCATCGTTTGTTTGTATGAATGATTAAAGGAATGCTTAAGCCACCATGTCCAACTTCTTCTAGTGAGGTGAAATCTCCCAAACTTTTTTTTTACCTGCCTGATTTGGAACCATGATCCTCTAGATTTCAGTTCTTTCTTTTGGTTGGTTGTGGGGCTTGAACCCTGGGCCTGGGCGCTGTCCCTGGGCTCTTCAGCTCAAGGCTAGCGCTCTACCACTTGAGCCACAGCGCCACTTCCTAGGTTTCAGCTTTATTTCCCTCCCTCCTTACCTTTTCTTCTCTCCTTCATTCCTTTCTCTTTCTTCCCCTTCTCTCTCTCCCTCCTTCGTAACCTCCCTTCTTTTCTCCCTCCTTTCCTTCCCTCCTTCCTCCTTTCCTTCCCTCCTTCCTTCTTTCCTTCCTTCCTTCCTTCTTTCCCTCTCTCCTTCCCTTCTTCCTTCCTTCATACCTTCCTTCCTTCCTTCCTTCCTCTCTTCCTCTCTCCCTCCCTCCCTTTTGTTTTTTATTACTGTGGATTTGAAAAGGAGATTTCCCCCACAGAACTCTTTCCAAATCTTTGAGCAAAATCATTATTGTCTGAAGCCACCAATTGGGAGACAATTTGTGATACAGCCATGAAAATGAAAATGTTTTGGAGCTCAAAACAATGATTTAATTTCCCCCGTGAAATGGAGAGCTTCCTCTAGCCAGAAGGACCTTAGTGAGATAATGAAGTCAAGGTTTGATGCGAGAGGAGTGGTAAAAGCTGCCCTGCAGCACAAAGCCCCACCTACCTCTACTTCCTTCCCATCAACTATGGCATTTATGTCCTAAGTATAACATTTTAGTGCATTCGTTGAAGGAAATTCAGAAAAATAACTTCAAGTCCGATGCTGCACAGAAACAAAGCACAGCACATCACAAGTCACACTGGCACAGATCTCAGTCCATCTGTCACCAGCTACGGGGCATGTACCTGGACACTGGAGAAAGGATGCTGGGCATCTTCCCAATGTGGACAAGACTGTGACCACGTGATCACCAGGGAATGCTGACAGTCCATGCACAGAGCACCAGGTAGTGCCTTGCCAACATTGGTTGGCATGGGCGGGGCAGGGCTTACTGGGTATTCTGTCTCCTACCTTTACCTAGTGGCTGCAGGGGTTGGGGGGCCTCTAATGGGCACAACCCTCCAACTTCTGCTCCTGGTAGAAAATAAGCCTGTTGAGTGACACCAAGCCACACTTGTGAATTATGCAAAAGCAATTCTTGATTTGAAAACCAACAAAAAAAAAGTGGAATTTGTTTCAACGTTCACCCTAATTCAAGAACTTTCATGTGAAAATGGTTTAAGTTTTTAATTGCCAACTGGGGGAAAAATTCTTGTTGATAGACTATTGATGTGTGTGTGTGTGTGTGTGTGAGAGAGAGAGAGAGAGAGAGAGAGAGAGAGATAGAGAGAGAGAGTGTCCTGGGACTTGAACTCAGGACCTGTGTGTTGGCCCTGAGCTGTTTTTGCTCAAAGTTAAGTGATCTACCACTTGAGCCAGAGTTCTACTTCCTGATTTTTTTCATTTTATATATTTTACAGGGCTTTTGCCTGGGCCAGGCGAACACTCTACCACAGAACTACAACATTTTAAATTTGTTTTGGTAAAAGATATCATACAAAATGTCAAAAGCGATGTGACAACAGAGCGGCCCTTCCAGTCACCTCTACCAGATCAGCACCCCAAACCCTATTTACCAGTTCACACATTAAATCTGTCTTCACAGAACCAAGTTAAAGTTGTTCAGGGGAGATGTTAACAAGTCTTTACACTAAGCCAGTGGCTTGTGGCTCACACCTGTAATCCCAGCTACTCAGGAGGCTGAGATCTGAGGATCACCATTTTGAAGCCAGTCCAGGCAAGAAAGTTGATGACATTCTGATCTCCAATTAACCTCTGTAAGTGGAGCTGTGGCTCAAGTGGTAGAGTGCCAGCCTTGAGCACAAAAGCTTGGAGAGGGCTCCCAAGCCCTGAGCTCAAGCACCAACTGATGATGATGATGATGATGATGATGATGATGATGCTTTTGGGAGCATTGCTGGATTGAATCCAGGGGCTCCTGCGGCTGTGCCACACCCAACTCTGCCATAAATATTGTAATCACAGGGGTCCTCCTCCCTCCCCCCATCTATAGGACGAAGACAGACCAGGGCTGAGCAGGTCTTCAACCCAAGGACGTGCTAGGAGCTCAGGCGGTCCCCAGCCGCAGCGCACCCGGTGTTTACAGACTTTTCCCTAGCGAGGTGATGTAACCAACCCGGCCTGGTTCTCCCGGGATTCACCCCGGCCCAGGCTGATTTCTGTTCAAACCTTCCCTCCCCCTCCTCGAGTTTCTCGGGGTGGAAAGGTCAAAGCCCCGGAGGCTGGGCTGGTCTCCCCTCCGGTGGAACCCGATGGGTTTATTTGATTTTTATTTCATTTTTTCCCTCCCTTGGTTTATTTGTGCGTCGTATTTTTAGTTCGTCTGGATACATTTCTCTTCGACCAGTATCTGGACAGCAGCTCGCCGGCCCCGCGGGGCGCCCAGGACTGGGCGTGGTGGGCGCCCTCCCCGGACGTAGGGGGCGCGCGGGGGCCACGGGGGACCTCGCCCCACCCCCGGCGCGCTCGCGGGGTGGGGGGGGGCATCTCTGTGAGACCGGGAAGGAACCTCCGGGAAGGTAGTAGACCCCCAGCCCAGCCCGCCGCCGCTGCGGCTGACGCGGAGACCTCCGGGCGCCCAGCTCCCCCGGGCGCACGCGGACGGTGAAGCCAGAGCTAACCGCTGGGTCCCCGCAGGTCCGGGGTGCGGCGTCGGGGAGGGGGACAGAGACGCGAACCAGGCTCTCGGCTCCCCACCCCTGGGCCCCGCCCCGCAGCCCCGCCCACCGAGGCTCCGCCAACCGCCGGTCCTCCCCTGGCGTCGAGGGGCGTGGCCAGACACCCCGCCCACCGCGGCTCCGCCAACCACCAGTCCCCCTCGGGCTCCGCGGGGGCGTGGCCAGATGCGGGGGCGTGGCCAGCCGCGGGCCCGCGAGCAGCGCGCGGACGGCGGGTCCCGGGGCGCCCACTCCGCCATGGCCAGCGAGGAGCTGACGCACAGGCTGCAGCGCCGCCTGCGGCTCGGGGAGGGTCCGGGGGGCGGCCAGGGCGACCTCCAGCCCGCGGGCCTCGCCGCCCCCGCCGGGGAACCCCAGCCCGAGATCCCGGGCCGGGCGCCCGCAGCCAGCGCCGACGCCGAGCTGAGCGCCCAGCTGAGCCGACGGCTGGACATCAACGAGGGCGCGGCGCGACCCCGCCGCCGCAGCCGCGTCTTCAACCCCTACACTGAGTTCCCGGAGTTCAGCCGCCGCCTCATCAAGGACCTGGAGAGCGTGTTCAAACGGTGAGCCCCGAGGGCGGGCGGGGGCCGGGCGCCCGAGCGTCGGGGGGACGTTCCGCGTCGGGTGAACGCAGCCCCGCAAGGGCGCAGCGGGAGGCGGGTGGGGGGAACCTCGCCGGGCGCCAGACTCCGCTTCTGGAGCCTTCCACCTCCGGGTGGTACCCAGAGGATCCCGTGCGCTCTCAGGATCCCCGAGGGTCCCGGGGTCCCCCGCAGGTCCCTCACGGCCCCCCCGCAGCACATCTTCTAGGAAACTTGGCCGTCCCCCCCAACACGCACACCGCCGCCACCCCGTTTCCTTTGCTCCTTTGACCCACGAGGAGAGCGCCCGGCGAGGGCCGCGTGCGCGCGCACCGCCCCGTCGCACCCCGCCGCCCCAGGCCTCTGGAGGGTGGGGTCCCGGGTAGGTCCCCTCATTCCTGGCCCCAAATGTGGGGGGGTGGCAGGGGTCTTCCGGCCTCGGGGCTCCCGGGGGCTGTCGGTCCCCAGGGGCGCACCCGGGCGGAGCCTCGCTCTCTCCAAGTTCACGGTGAGCGTCTGGCGGAGCTATTCGTATTATACCCAGAATTGGGGCCAGACCCGAAAAAGCGCGGTGGTCGTGGGGAAGGGGCTGCGGGGCGCGGGCCGCGGCCGGGTCACCCCTCGGGTCACTTTAAGGCTCATGGGACGCGTCTGCCCTTCACGACCGCGGGGTTACCGAGGCCGGGCTGCCATGGCTGTGTCTGATGGCTTCCAGGGCTGCATTTTCGGGAGTCCGGCTCTGGTGGTTCAGGCCTGAGTTGGAGCCAAAGGATGGCACGGGCGGGGGCGGGGGGAGGGAGGGAACGCCGCGGGGTGCCTGCCAGAGCCCCATTCAGGGGAAGAGGCTGCCCTCGTCCATAGCTGGATCCAGCTAGATTGGGGAGGGGGGACGGTGACTGGGAGACAGACCTTCACCTTCCGATTGCTCTGGGCTAACTAGGATTATTTTTATTATTTTTTTGTTCGTTCCTGGGGCTCGAACTCTGGGCCTGCGCGCTGTCCCTGAGCCTCTGTGCTCAAAGGCCGGGGCTCTACCCCTTGATCCACGAGCCCCACTTGCAGCTTTTTCTAAATCGTTTATTGGAGAGCAAAGCCTCACAGACTTTCCTGCCTGGGCCGACTTCAAACTGTGATCCTCAGATCTCAGCCTGCTGCGTAGCTAGGATGGCAGGCATGAGCCCCCAGCGCTTGGCTTTAGAAATTTTTTAAAATGATTATTTTATTATCTTTAAGGAGTTGTACAACAGAGTTGCTATTGGACAAGGCAGTTTATGACTAGAATGCGTCTTGATCAATGTCACACCTTCAACATTCTCCCCCATCCCTCCTTCACTAGAAATTCTTTTGCTTTATCCTAAAAAAAAAAAACAAAAAAACCCACTTTTTGGAAGGGTTAGTTAGCTATCCACCTGGTCAGGGGGCTTTTGAGAGACCAAGCAAAATACCACCGTGAGGAATCAGGTACTAGACCAGGGTCAAGATAAGAGGAAGGCAGCAGGTGATAAGCGGTCCCAAGAGAAATCATGGTCTAAATTGTGTCTGGCGTCTCTCCTAAACTATGTATGATCTTGGTCAGAATTCTGGACCGAGTCCTCTGTCACCTGCAACCCAAGTTGGCATCACAAAAAAAGGAATTATTTGGCTTGTGAAACTACAAGGCCATTATTGACTTCAGGTAAGGCTGGATCTAGGAGCTCTGATGATGTCATCAGTGCTTTGTTCCCTCCCCTCCGCCCCATTGAACCTAAGACCTTGTGAATCGTAAGTACATGCTCTACCACTGAGCTGCACCCTAAGCTCATCCCGTGGCTCATGTCTGGTAGCCCCAGCATGGCCACTTCATCCTCAGCGAGTCAGTGGGAAGCATAGCCGCAGCTGAGGCTTTAGTGTTCTCTGCGTGGGAGGGGTGAAGCATTACTAAAGCTAGTTGTTGGCTTTTTGTTGTTTTGGTGTGTGTGTGCATGTGTGCGTGTGCCAGTGCCAGTCCTGGGACTTGAACTCAGGGGCCTGGGCACTGTCTCTGGGCTTTTTTTTAGTGGTGGTAGGTTAATACTCTCCCACTTGAACCACAGCTCCACTGCCAGCTTTTTCTGAGTAGTTTATTGAAGATAAGAGTCTCATGGACTTTTCCTGCCTGGGCTGGATTTGAATGGTGATCCCCAGATCTCAGCCTTCTGAGTGGCTAGGATTTCAGGCGTAAGCCATTGGCACCTGGCTTTAGTTTCTGGCTTTTTTGGCCAGGTGAATCTGTTACACCAGCCAGGATTGAACCTCTAGCCTTAGATGTGCATATTTGCAGTCTTCCTAGGTCCTGCCTTCTAGCTCTCCCCTCCTGGCTCCGTGTCAGGCACCCATGTCCTTTGGGTGCAAAGATCCCTCTGTTCAGAACCTACTAGAACACTTAGTACCCCCAGCCATCACTGGGCATCTACCTGCCTGGTTTTCTCCTGTTCTGTGGGGGATACCCCAGTCTAGGGATTTGCTGCCCGGATACTGGGGACGCAGCTCATCCACTGGGCGGAGTCTTCCATCAGCTCAGCAGGTGCTTGCAGTTGAGCTATGAAGCCTGTCTTCTACCAGGGCAGTCGCTAGGGCTCACACCTGTAACCCTAGCTATCCAGGAGGCTGAGATCTGAGGATCCTGCTTTGAAGCACTTTGGGTAGATAAATCTGAGAGAGACTTATCTCCAATTAGAAAGCAAAAAATAAATAAAAATAAGAAGTGCAGCTGTGGCTCAAGTGATAGAGTGTCGGCCTTGAGCAAAAAAAGCATCAAGCCCCAGTACACACACACACACACACACACACACACACACACACACACACACACACACACACACACACACACACACACACACACACACACACACACACACACGCGCGCGCGCGCACACACAGCTGCCTTCTGAAGGTTCCTGAGTGCCTATGGATGCCAGGTTCATCCAGCCTCCCAGTCATCCCTGGCTACCTGCCTTCCATCAGAAGCTGCCGCTGGCTGGCTGGTTGGCTGACTCCGGGTGTTTCTTTGCTGAGCCCATCAGCCCCAGGGGCCCTCTGCGCCCTGCTGCCCTTGCCCAGGCTAGGGCAGCCCTGGGTCCCTCTGTGGCCCAGGAAAGTTGCTGTGGGCTTGGCATTTGGGGATTTGCAGACCTGTTCTGGCTGGGCAGTGTCACTGCCCTGTGGTTGACCTTCAGCTTCTCCTTAGGCCCAGTTTTGCTCACAGCCCAGCTGGCTCTTTTGAGTTTCCTTCTTCTGGCCCAGTGTCCTGAATGACCTTTTTTTTTTGGTTTTATTTTTGTGTTTCTCTGTTCTAGGAATTAACTGAGAGTCTGTGTGTGCATTGGGCTACAGCCTCAGCCTGTGTGTTTTGTTTTTTGTTTGTTTGTTTTTTATTTCTGAGACAAGGTCTTGTTTTGCTGCTCTGGCTGATCCCAAGAGCTGGGATTACAGATGTGCACCACTACACCCAGCTCCTGTATGACTTTGAAGTAAAAGCTCTCAAGCTCTCTCCAGGCCTTTCTTCTGAAAGCCTGTTGGCTGCTCTTTCCTGAGACTTGCCTCATCCCCTCTCCCGCCCCCACAACCACTCTCGCACAACACCCATCCACACTAGACCACTGGCGACAAGCCAGGCAGGGAGAGCCTTTCCACAGGTTTCTCAGGCTCCTCCTAGGTCTGATGTACCCCCTCCTCACTGTCCCCCTTCAATACAACCCATGGCCTGCTAACTTCCCTGAAAACACAAACACCCTATCTGCCTTCCACTGGTCAGCTGCCACCTAGTCCTGGTGGCACAGTGGTCCAGGGAGCGGCCAGCTCCTGTGGGCAGCCTGTGCTGTCAGCTTCCCTTTCTGTTAGGTGGGGACAGAACAGGACTGTGGGGACTGAAGGAACTCACTTGTATGAAGGTGTCTGCCCATGCTTGGCTGCTGGGAAGACATACTAGGTTTTTAAATCACTGATGACGATGATGGTGATGATGGTTATTTTTGGTGGCACTAGGGTTTTGAACTCTGGGCCTCGTATTTGTTGGGCATTCAATCTACCATTTGAGCCAGCATTTTAGCCCCTCTTTTTTTTTTTGCCGGTCTGGGGCTTAGACTCTGAGACTGGGTACCATCCCTGGGCTTGTTTTGCTCAAGGCTAGTGCTCTATCATTTGAGCCACAACACTACTTCTGGCTTTTTTCTGAGATAAGGGTCTCATGGAGACTTTTCTGCCCACACTGGCTTCAAACCACAATCCTCAGATCTCAGCCTCCTGAGTAGCTAGTGTTATAGGCATGAGCCACTGGTTCCCAGCTCTTTTTTGCTTTAGTTATTTTTCAAATACCGTCTTGCTTTGTTGTTGTTACTGTTCAGCTGAACTTGAACCTTGATTGTCTCAAATCACAAACCTCTTGAATTGGTACCCTTCTAATCTCCACCTCTTAAGCCACTGTACGTGGCTCTATTTTTTTTAACAAAACCTCAGTGCCACTGGAAAGAATCATCATAGTAATGATCAGTGATTAAAACCTAGTAGGTCTTCCCACCAGTGCTGGCAGTCAAACTCAGTGTCTGCATGCTAGGCAGACACTTTAGCACTCTGCTTTATCCCCAGCCCACAGACTTTAGTTTATCACACATCTATCATTTTGGTGGCTGCACAACTTTAGTGTGGCTTTATTTATTTGCTTATTTATTTTGTGTTCTAGTTCTGGGGCTTGAACTTAGGGCCTGGGTTCTGTTTCCTAGCCTTTTGGCTCAAGGCTAGCACTCTACCATTTGAAGCCACACTTCTATTTCTGTTTTTTGTTGTTGTTGTTGTTGTTTTTTGGTCGGTTGTGGGGCCTGAACTCTGGCCTGGACGCTGTCCCTCAGCTCTTCAGCTCAAGGCTAGTGCTCTACCACTTAAGCCACAGCTCCACTTCCGGCTTTTTTCTGCTTATGTGGTGCTGAGGAATCAAACCCAGGGCCTCATGCATGCAAGGCAAGCACTCT